GGGTCAAGGTTTTATTAAAAGCTACATTTTATAACACTGGCACAAAAAAAGTAGTTTTAAGCTTGTTTGCACAGTTCTTTTTTTCCATTGGAAATGGAATTCATTGCCTTAGGTCTTTTTAAATAGTGTATTATTATCGTTGGGGCTGGCTCTATGCTTGAAAACCAGTTTATTTATAACCTGTTGTAAGTGCTATATTCTGTTTGCAGTTAGGAAATGCAGAATTCAAAGTGATCTCCTAGCTTGTAAGCAAACTGAGATGCACTATCCCTTTTCTATTAAAAATGAGTTGATGTGTCAGGAAACCAACACTAGCAAAGTGGATTTGATATCCCCTTCCTTGTGTGTCTTATCTTATTGTTTTGGTTGTTAATATGGTGATAATTGAAAGTCAAGTTGACATTTAAATATTAATATTTCTGATTTATTGACCTTTGAACTATGCCACCATGCTTATGTAAAAATGAAGGTGGCACCATGGTGAAACTTAACAAGAAGTAGTTTTCAGCTGTAACAGTTTTGATTCTCTTTCCTGTGACCTCTTTCCCCGCTGTCTGGAACCATAGCAAAAGGATACTGCATCTCTTGTTACTGTAGTGCTGAGGTTATTGAAGTTACAGAAACACATCTAGTCTGTTTCTTAGGAAGGTATCCGTTAAGTCTTGCTGGGTGACTGACAAGAAAGGTAAATGTGTTTCATGTTTCGCACACCAATGCAGCAGGATTTGTATAACCATATGACTTCATAGTTGTGATCTCAAAGGAACCTCTCCTTTCCTTTTTCTTGCAATTAATGTAAGAATACTCTAAGTCTCTAAGCTTCTGAAGTGTTAGAGGTAGAGATGGTCTAGTAAAGATGTAATGTTTTATCCATTTAGCATGTGTTTATTTCGCCTTCTGTTCTCAAGGTGATTTGTTCCTTTGACTCAGTGATATTGTAGTTAAAAATGATGAGCAAAAGTGCTCTCCACCTAACAGATCAGAAATGATTCTTTTATATTGTGTTGAGTATTTGACTACCACTTTTTTACATTCAGAAGTTTCTTGAAGGTTCTTCATAACTGCATTATAGAAGACATTATGTCATATACAGTTCATTGACATTCAGCCGAAGCGTTCACACGCTGCTTATTTTCCCGATGAACCCCATGATGGAAAGACTTAAAGATGACTTGGGAAATACTGAAACTAGATTATCAGGTTCTGTTCAATTGTTACATACATCTTGCTTAATTTCTGTTTATTAATTTATATCCACCCAATTATAAAGTAAATTTGGAGGAAACAGCTGAAGTTGTGCTATATTTTCAGTGATAATTCTTTGTTAATCCTTATATTTTCTAATTATACACATTTGTGTCATCAAGTCTTATAGTCAGACTTTTTTCCTAGGTTCTCAAAATTAGTAAATGAACTTTTCCCAGTTGTCTTTCATGTTACAATTTTTGGTTAAAGCAAAAACAAAAAGTTCTGCCTCAGGGGCCAGTACAGAACTGCATGCTCTTGGGTGTTTCCTGTCTTTAGCTTTATTCTGCACATACCATGTTAACAACCATCAATTTTGGAGTCTACTAAATGGTTAAAATTATAATATAGCCACGAAGGGCTTAGAGAGCTGGTTACACATTTCCCGGAATATCTAATCCTTAAAAAAAATCCCACATAAGCTTAGTTACTTTCAAGTTTATGCATATATATATATTTTTTTTTTTTTGAGAAGTCTTTATTTTTTTCTTGCTTTACCAAAAAAGTGGTTTTTGTTCTGTATTTCTATGTGTGTGTCAGGCAAAATAGGCAGTCAGCTTAGGGTCAGCCTTTATATAGTAGTGAAGATTCAGGCTTCATCCCAAATCATCTCTTTATACAGCAGTTTAAGGCTCAGGCAAGTAGTTTTCATTGCTTTGTATTTACTGCCATCTAACCACACTCATAGAAACTGGATAGCTTTAAAGCTTCCTAAACTAAGTAGGTGTAGCCTGTTTAGAAATGGGCAAGATATGTTCCAGCCTGGCTACACAGGATTTGAAACGTCTGGAAAGCCTAACCAGAAAATGGGGGAGGAGAATTTATACAAAGTGCAATGCTTGGATATATTTTTTTAAGTTATGTTTACATTCTTACAAAGAATCTCTTAAATTGGTATTGGAAGACTTACCCCCACCCCTGTGTGTGTCTGTGTATTTCACAGAACATAAGGCATTAAGGTTCTTTACATAAAAAGTTCCTTCATTAGGGAGAAAGCATTTTTAAAATTTTATTTATGTGTATAGATATTTTGCCTGCCCATATGTCTGTCTAACACTTGTGTTCCTGGTGCCTGTGGAGGCCAGAAGAGGGTGTCAGATCCCTTGGAACTGGAGTTACAGACAGTGATGAACCTCCATGTGGGTGCTGGGAATTGAGTCCATTGGGAGAGCAGCCAGTGCTGAGCCATCTCTCCAGCCCCAGAAAGAAGCATTTTAAAAAACAGCTTGTGCCGGGCGGTGGTGGCGCACGCCTTTAATCCCAGCACTCGGGAGGCAGAGCCAGGTGGATCTCTGTGAGTTCGAGGCCAGCCTGGGCTACCAAGTGAGTCCCAGGAAAGGCGCAAAGCTACACAGAGAAACCCTGTCTCGAAAAACCGGAAAAAAAAAAAAAAAAAAAAAAAAAAAAAAAAAAAAAAAAAACAGCTTGTTAAACCAGAGCTACCTGTGGTCTTGACTGAAAGTGGTGAGAAGGAAAGAAGGTGAGTTTCTTAGATACACTTAAGAATGATAGTGCTTCGATGATGTGTTGGGGATATGAAGCTCAGTGGTAGATCACCTCCCTACCTCACTAGTTGGTACTGAGTTCAGTCCCAATACCAACAACAACAAAAAAATATAGATACACTCTGTTCTTTTATGAGATAGGATCTTACTTTGTAACCCAGGCTGGCCTAGTACACACTGTGTAGTCCAGTGCATTCTTCCTGTCTTGGCTTCCTCAGCACTGGGATTATGGGTATCAACAATATTATAGCAGTAGCAATCATTTCTTAGTCATTTGCTTGCACCTGAATGCAAATGTATCTTAACTAAAGCAGTAAGCTCAAACTCATTTTTAACCTTTAGTTTTGAAATTTATGAACACAAGGAAAGTTGGCTTTTTATCTAATAACTCTAAAGTAATATTAAATTTACTTACTTGAATTTAAGTATCTATTCTTACGGGTTGGGGGAAAGAAGCAGCAAAAAAACCAGTCTGTGACCCCTGTTCAGTGTTTATCTCATCTAGACTTTATTTCTCAAGACTCTTAGGTGCTAATTTTATGTTTAAAATGGTTATTGTGGGGGCTGGAGAAATGGCTCAGCAGTTAAGAGCACTAACTGCTCTTCCAGAGGTCCCGGTTTCAATTCCCAGCACCCACATGGTGACTCACAGCTGTCTGTAACTCCAGTTCCAGGGGACCCAACACCGTCACACAGACATACACACAGGCAAAACAGCAATGCACATAAAATAAAAGTAATTTTAAAAAATACAGTCATTGGCCGGGCGGTGGTGGCGCACGCCTTTAATCCCAGCACTTGGGAGGCAGAGCCAGGCGGATCTCTGTGAGTTCGAGGCCAGCCTGGGCTACCAAGTGAGTTCCAGGAAAGGCGCAAAGCTACACAGAGAAACCCTGTCTCGAAAAACCAAAAAAAAAAAAAAAAAAAAAAAAAAAAAAAAAAAACAGTCATTGCATTGTACTAATCACTGATTGACCACCCACATGATATTTACCAGAGCGGTATCAAAAGTGATCCCTGGCCGGGCGGTGGTGGCGCACGCCTTTAATCCCAGCACTCGGGAGGCAGAGCCAGGCGGATCTCTGTGAGTTCGAGGCCAGCCTGGGCTACCAAGTGAGTTCCAGGAAAGGCGCAAAGCTACACAGAGAAACCCTGTCTCGAAAAACCAAAAAAAAAAAAAAAAAAAAAAAAAAACAGTCATTGCATTGTACTAATCACTGATTGACCACCCACATGATATTTACCAGAGCGGTATCAAAAGTGATCCCTGGCCGGGCGGTGGTGGCGCACGCCTTTAATCCCAGCACTCGGGAGGCAGAGCCAGGCGGATCTCTGTGAGTTCGAGGTCAGCCTGGGCTACCAAGTGAGTTCCAGGAAAAGGCGCAAAGCTACACAGAGAAACCCTGTCTCGAAAAACCAAAAAAAAAAAAAAAGTGATCCCTGAAAGAATTTTCAGTTTGTGTCAGAAACATAAATGTTCAATACAGTAGAACATGTCCATGACCCCCGCAATTGGTCATCCTGTTACTTCTGTGTAGGATCTGAATTTAGTAACACAGACTCTCATCCCTTTAGTTGCAGAGGGAAAATAAATCTAATTTTTCAGTCTCTGTAGTAATTTTCTGTTACTTAAAGAAGAATTTATTTAGGATCCCTTGTTCCAGAGGGTAGGCTAGATGTACATAATGGTAGAGAAGTCATGGTAGCAGGAGCAGGAAGCTGAGAGACCCCACCTTTCATCTGCACACAGGAAGGAAAGAACAAGAACTGGAAGTGGGTTATGGCTATAAGCTCAAAAACCTACCCCTGTGAAATACAGACAAGGTTCTACCACCTAGAGGTTCCATAATCTCCCCAGACAGTGCTACCAACAGGGGACCAGGTACTGAATTCTGTGAGCCTGTGGGTACATTTCTTACTCAAACCAGTACAGTCTCCAAGCCATTTTGATGCTGGCAGAGTTTAGAATAACTGGTAGATAATTCTTTCCCATGCTACTGTGAAGTTTACTTTAGCACATTGTAGTGTTTTGTTTCCTTAGCTGATTGACAGTGAGAGTGTTGATGCTCGGTATTTGTGACCCAGTTCCTAGGCAAGGTTACATAGGCTTCTTGTATGTGTCCTTTGCTGCTTTCCTTGCTGCTTAGCATGGGTACAGAAAATCTAGATGGGGCATTTACGACCTTTTTTTCTGATCCATAAAGTTTTCATTAGGTCCAGTGAAATTCTATAAAAGTTCACAATTACCTGCACAATTTAATTTTTTCACTTTATTCTTGAATAACACTGAACAACAGGCACTGATGGTTATCATTGTTGACTAAAAATTATCACTCGTTATTTTTTGGTTTGTGTGTATTACATGGGTGTATACATGGAGGTCAGAGAGCAATCCGGGGTGTTGAAGAGGAGGTTCCCTTTGAGGGTAACTTCCTTGCCTATCTTAAACTTCATCTCCTCTAGGTCCTCAAATCTGGGACATCATGGCTCTGCTTCATCAGCTTGTATCCTCTGGGCCCTGCTCTCTGCTCCACAGTTGACATATATTGTATGAGAGGGAGGGAGAGGGAAGAAGGGAGAGAAGGAAAGAAGAGAAAGAAAAAGGGGGAGAGAGAAAGAATGTATGTAGGTGCTATAGTATACATGTGGTGGTCAAGGATAATTTTGTAGAGTTGATTCTCTACTTCTACCATTACATGACTGTGACAGGCTAACTCTTACCAAGTGATTATCTAGTTCTGGTGAAGGAAGGCACAAGATTTTGTGTTTTAGACAAACCAGAAGCAGTTGGAGTTGTAGGCCACGTTTAACCCCAAATAATCCATTCTTCATGTAGCAGCTAAAATAATGTTATGGATCAGTTGAATGATGTCATTCCCCAGCTTAAAACTCTAATAGCTTCCTGTTGGACTTAAAATAAAATCCAACTGGGCTGTGGTGGAGCACGCCTCTAATCCCAGCACTCAGGAGGTGGAGGCAGGCGGATCTTTCTGAGTTTGAGGCCAGCCTGGTCTATAAAGCAAGTTCGAGGACAGCCGGGGCAACACAGAGAAACCCTACATAGAAAAATGAAAAGAAAATCCAAACTGGCATGAAATGGCTTTCTGCCTCTTTTCATAGGACTCTGCCATCTAGCCTCTTTGAACCTTGTAAAACCTTTCACATTATCATTTCTTCCCTGTAGCTTGCTCCTTACATACTTATCCTCTGAACTAAACCACACCCATTTGTTTTTACTCTATGACTAATTCTTTTTTTAAAGATTTATGTATATGAATGCTCTATCTGCATGTACAACTGTATGCCAGAGAGGGCATCAGATCCCACTAGAGATAATTGTGAACCAGGTTGTTGGAAATTGAACTCAGGACCTCTTGAAGAGCAGCCAGTACTCTTAACTGCTGAGCCATCTCTCCAACCCAACTAATTCTTTGTGTTTATATCTCTTCCTTATCAGAGTAAGCCCCACAAAAGTATGACACTTGTTTTGTAAATGAAAAGAGGACTCTTTAGGAATCTGAGCATTTCTGATGGAGATGGAGGTCTCATAGAGTTTGAAGCCAGGCATGGTGGCACATGGGGGCCAAGGCAGTTCTAGGCCAGCCAACACTACACAAGGAGACCCAGGCTCAGAAGGGATTGGGAGTTGGCAAGAAGGGACAGCAGCACCTCTCTCAAGTTGACAGTTTTCTCCTAGCCAGTGCCTCAGGAACTTGAGTGTGCATCACATTCATCTGGAAGACTTTCTGGGCTTTAAGCCTACAATTTCTAGGTCTGTGATTTTCCTTATGTTCACAAATGATGCTAATAGCAGTCAGAGACTTACACTTTGAACTTCTTGCCTGAGTAATAGATGTTGAGCCAGGCCAAATTTTGTCCCTCCCTGCATTCTGCATACTGGAGTTAGAAGAAATCCTTTGTGCCATTCACTAGTCATAAGCTGTTAAGGCTAGAAGCCCTGAAGTGCCATGCACCCTGTCATGTCAAAAAGCCACTGGAAGAGAATGCCTAATACAGGAGCAAAGCCAAAAATTGTAGCCTTAATGGCAGCACTAGAGATGGCCCAGTTTAGTCATGCCAAAGGTCAGGCCCTGCCTTCTCTTGGGGAACTGTGCTGTGTGACCTGGTTACATAATTGTAATCCTTTGTAACATAAGCACTTGGCAGGCACGTGGAGGGCAGAGGGTAACTTTTGGGAATCAGTTCTCTTCCACTTATGGATGCCAGGTATCAAACTCAGGTGGTCAGGCCTGCATGTGAAACTGAACCATCTTGTTGGCTCCCCAGGACTTTTTAGGATTCTGACCTATGGATCATTTGAACTGGTAGGTGAGATGTGTTTGCTCAAGCAAGTACTCCTACTGTTTGTTTTAACAACTAAAGTAGGGGGTGCCCGGTGAGCAGGTAGTAGTTATTAGTAGTTTTAAAACATTGGTTGAGTCTGGGCCTAGTGGTGCACAACAGTCCATCTCTGAGTTTGAAGTCAGCCAAGGCTACATAGCAAGTTCTAGACCAGCCAACGCTACATAGTGATATTCTGTCTCAGAAAAACTGAACAAAAAACACTGGTTAGTTTTTTTTTAATCAGTCTTTATTCTATAGCCCAGGATGGCCTTGTACTCCTGAGCTATCCTGCTTTGGCCTCCCAAATGCTGGAATTATAGGCATGAGGCCACCACACCCAACTAAAAAACATGATTATAGTTGGGACCTGGAGAGAAAGCGCAGCTGTTTATTTAGCATTTACTATACTTGCAGAGGACCCAAGTTAAATTTCCAGCATCCACTACAGACAGCTCACTGCTATCTATAACTCCAGTTCCAAGGCATCTAATGTCTTCCTGTGGGCTCCTACATGCACTCATGTATACATGCAAACACACAAGCACACAAAATAAAATGACTTTTTAAAAATGTATTGATCTTTAAGAGAATGTGTGTGTGTACATGCATATGAGTAGTTGCCGGACGGTTGAAGATGGTAGTAAGCCATCCAACATGGCTGCTGGGAACTGAACTTGGTCCTCTGGAAAATCAGGAGTACTCTTAAACCTCGGAACCATCTCTCCTAAAATGAATTTTTTAAGGTTCAGGTGTCTAGCAGTGTATACCACCCTTGCTGTTCCCACTTCCTACTGTAATCCACCTCTAGCATGTTGTAGCCTTGCCTTCCCAACTGTACAGGTTAGTCTGGATTTATCTGTCCAGATGAGGATCAGTGCCCTCCATCATGCCTCAGTGATGTTCATGAACAAGTTTGTAGATGTGTACATAGGTCAAAAAATCTTGCTGGGTTTTTTGTGTGTGTCTGTGAGCTCCAGGGATCAACCTGTCTCTGCCTCCACAGTGCTCAATTACAGATGTGCACTTCTGCATCTAGTTTTTGTTTGTTTTTTACGTGGATGCTTAGGATCTGAACTCAGGTCTTCATACTGGTCAGCAAGCAGCTTTACCTGCTGAGCCTTCTCTTCAGCCCCAACTCTTGTTAAATGCTGTTTTTGTTTGGATGTTTTGTTGTTGTTGTTTTTTTCTTTTGGCTTTGTTGAACTTAGATTAGACCTCAGTATCTCATGGTGCCATTTGGACACAGGGACCCATGTCATATATACTCCATGTGTTAACAAAGATTTCCAAAGGTGGAATTAGCCAGTACCTCTTCCATCTTTCACAGTGCCCCAAGATTCAGTGTGACTTAGGCATTAAACTGATAATAGGTTGGCCAACAATTTAGCGAAGTAGGCTTTAGAATTCAGCTGCCTGGCTTCAAATTTTTGTGATGGATGCATGATGGCTCTGTGATCCTAGGCAAATTATTTTCTTCTCTTGAAAACAATCAGTCCCTACCTCATAGGTACTTATAAGGATTACAGCTAGTTTGGTAGCAGCTAGCAGATTGTGAGCACTTATTAGCTATTATTTTCTGTAGAACAAAGACTTTGATTTTTTTTTTTTTTATTGTTTCAGTGATTGGTTGAGATAGGATCTCATAGCCCATGCTGGCCTTGAACTCAGTATGTAGCAGTGTAGCATACATATGTCCTTGAATTTTTTTTTCCCTTGTGGCAGGGTTTCTCTGTAGCCCTGGCTGTCCTGGAACTCACTCTGTAGAACAGGCTGGCCTTGAATTCAGAAATTCACCTGCCTCTGCCTCCTGAGTGCTGGGATTACAGGTATGGGTCACCATGTCTAGCTGATGTCTAGTATTGTGAAGTGTTCCTTACTATTAAGGAAAACTGCCCTTCACAGTCATTTACAAGGTGGTAGCTGTGATGCCTCTGGATGTCTGCTTATCAACTGTTAGCAACTGTATGCCTCCGAAGAGCTCTGCTGCTTTTAGCTGGCTGTATGCAGTGGGAACAAATTATAGTTGCTCATTCAAGAATGAATTCTCAAGCTCCCAGATGAGGTTGGTTGTGGGTTTACGTTGTTGGTCAGTATTGAACTTTTCAATACTAGTTGTGCTAAACCCAGCAGAACGGCACCTTATAACCTTGAAAAGTTGTAGCTGATAGCAGGTATGAGATGTTCCCATTTACTGCTTGGATTTCAGAATCCACCCTTCTCAGTTAACTGTGATTGTCATACGTACATCAGGAAATTGTTAAAGAGGCACTCTGAAAGGCTGTATATTTGAAGTAAAAGATGAGATTGTTGCCAGGTGGTGGCAGCGGCACACACATTTAAACCCAGCACTTGGGAGGCAGAGGCAGGTGGATCTCTGAGTTCGAGGCCAGCCTGACCTGGTCTACAGATTGAGTTCCAGGACAAGAAGTTCCAGAACAGCCAAGGCTACACAGAAAAACCCTCTTGAACCCTCCCCTCCCAAAATAGGAGATTGTTGGTTCCGTATCATCTTAGAATTAAAGAACTATAAAAATTATAAAGTGGATTTATAGATTCTTTTGTTAAATGGTCCCAGCATACTGAGACTTTCTGAAGGCCTCTTCTAATGTTGACAATTCTTGCTGGGAATCTCCCACCTGGGCCTGAGCCAAGCCTTGGGTTGAGGTTGGCCTTTTAGGGGCCTCGATTTGGTATGGGGTTGTGACTTTTTGCTGGGACTGGTGATAGCTGTATTGGAAACACTCCCACTCTGACTCAAGAGATGATAGGGAAACCTGCCAAGGTGTGGGAGAGCTGATAGGGACCAGTGTGGTGCCAACGCCCTGCAGACCAGGTGAGCAGCTGAGCTAGACAGCATTGTCAAGGGACTGTTCAGATCCCCTGGTACGGTTGCTGCTTCCCTGGCAACTGTTCGTGTGGCACAGGACTCGGGCTTTGGCAAGTGAGGATCTCTTGCCCTCGGGGCTTTCCAGCTGTCACAGTCTCCTACCAGGCAGAGGTGCGCTATGAAAGTCTGTACTAGAGAAGGGGTGAGCCAGGATGACTTAGGACGTGGAGCAGCCTAGGGTAGGATTCCATCTTCAAAATCCCCTACCTGAGGGTAGGATTTAGAAACCCAGTGTTCTTTTTCACAGACTACCTCAGAAAGCTACAGGTGGGATCCCAGAGGCTTAATCCTTTAAACGTCATTAGCCAAACTGCAACCAGGGCAGCTGAGGTAAAGGTGGGCTAATTAAGGAAAACAGCAGCAGTAGCTCGGATGGTACAAGGAAGTCATCCTGACATTTTGAAATGGAGGCAAAAGCGCTTGAAACTCTGAGACCGTCTCATAAGCTGCAGTTTACATGGCATGTGTTAGTGTCATGTGACCGGCCACTTTGGCATAAGCCTCGAGGAACCACCCCTCCCCAAAACTTCCAGGTTGGTCTCCACATCCAGGACTCAGAAAGAGAACACACTTGGAAAGAGCTTGTTGTCTATGGAAAGATTCTTGTGTCGTTCTGAAGAAAAGCAGCACTACGTATGAAAAGGGACCATGAATAAAGGGTTTTGTTTGGCCTTTTCCTTATGAGAATCCCAAAGCTTCTTCCTCTATGACTTATGGAACTGGTTGGTTTGGTTGATCGTGTTCTGAGAGCAGGGTTACATATCTCATTCTGGCTTCAGACTCTCCAAGAGTAACAGAACTTTGGATTCTCCTGCCTTTAGAAGACAAAATTCCAAATTCATGAAAGCTCACTTTTAAATGCTAGCAACTTAATTTAGTTTATTTATTTTTTAGACAGTCTGGCTGTCCTGGAATTTTGTATATAGAACTTTGAAGCCAAAAGTTCAGGTGCTAGGAACGCCCCTATTCTAACCTCAAAAACCAAGACATTGCTGAGATTTCAACAGCAGTTTGGCCTTGGCAGCATGTAGAGAGATTTACTTCCACAATGTCTGGGTGAAAACAGATTTACAGCAATTATTTTTGGTTTGGTTTTTTTTTTTAAACACCAACTATAATCCCATCAATGTATTTCTAAAGAAATGTAAACTTTCATACATTCTCTTAAACATCACAGTGTGAAACAAGTACCCGTATGTGTGATAGGACTGGCAGAAGGCTCCACCTGCTCTGCCCTTGGCAAGGCCTCGGCCACACTGGTAAAAACGCTGTCTTTGCTTCTGCACAGATGTTCTTGTGCATCCCACAGGAGCACCAGGTGGACCCTAAGGAAAGGCAGAGGGAGGGGGATCTTTTGAAATGTTTCCAGGAGCTCTGTCCAGCTAGCTGTGTGTTCATCTTTCAGCCCAGGAGTGCTGCCAAAAGCTACAAGGACACTGATGAAACTGTGCATCTGCTGCCGTCCAGGGAAGATCTGGCCTGGAGTGTGGCTGCCTGGATTCGAAAATGTGTCCTTGACTCCATGGAGTAGTTCTTGTAGTTTTGCCTAAAGGGGAGCAAAGGATCAGACACAAGAGGCTTGGCTGTTGTGGGAAATATATCATACGTTTGAGCTATGTGAGACACCACCACCATTATCACGCTCATCCTTATACAGTCTGAAAAGTGAGTTTTTAGGACACTGGAGGTACTCAAGACAAGAGCTAAGCCCTAAGCAATGGAAGGCTTATTTCAAAGGCTGTACTCTCCCACCACTGCCTTCAGGCCCTCTTGTCATCTTGGTCCAGTTGGGCCCTTGAGCTTGAAGTCAGGACACTTGAGTCTTTATACCAGCTTTGTAGCTGGCTCAGGGTGGGCCTTTGTCTCGAGAATTCCAGCTAAATCTGTAAGCTGAGGGGAAGCTCAATTGTGGCAGGTTAGAGCTGTGTTCCCAGAACACTGCCCTTGTCAGAAGCCTTACTGTTGCCTGGGCACCTCAGTTCTGTGGGAGCACCATGGGTACTACGGAGTTGACCAAGCCTTACTTGGCAGAGTCGAGGAGTTTGATGGCCTCTTCGTTTCTGCCTTGCTCCATGAACAGCAGGGCCAACTCCAGCAGAGCATTTGGGATCAAGTAGTGGTCATATTTAATCTTCTTTTCACTGCAGAATAGAAGCAGACATGGTCCATCCTTCAGGTCCTCTTCACCACTTCTGGAAACTTCATATTCCTTGTCTTAGGAAAGCTGGGAGCCTCAGACTGTGTCCCGCATGGCCTTAGCTCACCTCCCTGTTTGAGTCCCAACCACTGCTTCTCTCGGTTGAATGGTCTGTTAAGCTGGGAAGCCTGTTCCCTATCTGGTACCCTCTGCTCCCTGCTGCCCTGGAGACGGACTTAACAGTCTTCCATGCCATATCCTTTACTGTGGGGTGGCTTAGTCCTGTGAAGACAAGGCCCTTAGTCTGGCCTTTCTTTATAGTTTTAGTCAGGTAGGACAGGTCCTCACTGTTGTCATCTGAAGCTGGTATGTGTCCTGTGTCCAGCCACACTCCACTTAAAACTTACTCCTTTGCTTTTGTCTAGCTGCTAAACTTCCAAATTTATTTACTGAAACAAAGTCTCACTATGTCTTGGCCTCAAACTCTTAGAGATCCTCCTGCCTCTGCCTCCCAAGTGCTGGGATTAAAAGCATGTGCCGGACTGGAGAGATGGCTCAGAGGTTAAGAGCACTGGCTGCTCTTTCAGAGGTCTTGAGTTCAATTCCCAGCAACCACATGGTGGCTCACAACCATCTGTAATGAGATCTGGTGCCCTCTTCAGGCATACATGCAGACAGAACACTATACATAATAAATGTTAAGAAAAAATAACCTTCCTGTAAAAAAATAAAGGAACAGAGTATATGTGTAAAAAAAAAAAAAAAAAAAAAAAAAAAAGCATGTGCCATAAACATCAGCTCTATCCTTACACAGAGTAGACACCAGCATGTGTATGGTGAATGAGTTGACTGGAGATAGCCACTGTAGTGGGGGGTGGGGGGATGGAGAAGCCAAGCCAGTGGGAGCAGCCAGAAGCACTTACTTGGCAGAGATGCTCCTGAAACTCTCCTCTGCCTCCTGGATTCGGCCCAGGTATTTCAGACACAGGCCTTTCAGCAGTTTGACCAAGCAGTCGTCATCTGTTGAGTACTCATTCTCTGAGAAGAAGGGTGTGGGGAAGAAGGGAGGCTTGCTCACTTCCGCATCAGTTACTCAGGGAGCCCCTCTGGAACCCAGGACACAGGTGAATCTGACACAATTCACCTCAGGGGACTCACATCTGAGAAGAAAGATACTGAGATAATGGCTCCAGAGTGAATTAGTGACTGGAGGAAGCTCAAGAGAAGGCCCTGGACAAGGAGACAAGGGACACTTGCTTAGAGGAGCTAACACTGGTCTTCTAAAAGACTGGTTACGGGGACAGCGGAATGAGAAAGGACATTTTTTGGCAGAGGAACCTTCAACTCTAAAGACCTGACCTAGCCTGGCAGGTTCAAGAGCCTGAGGGTAATCACCTGGGCCGGTTGCCAGCATCTCTTCAGCCTTGGTGATGACCTCAAGCATCCCATCCGTGAGTTTTGGCTGCTTCCCAATCACAGCATAGCCGTTCCAGATGTACATCATTTCCTGAGAGTGGGAGTGAGGCAAGTCAGTCCTGGGTCTCTACCTCAGCAGGGCCTCAGTTTTCCCATCTGTAAAACAGGCAGCTCAGTTCAAAAGGTCTGAGGCCTTTGGATCCCTGATCTTCCAGGTCTTTTCCCAGTCTGTGAAGCTGTAGGGCTGAGGGCATTATGGAGGCAGCCTTACCAGGGATTTGTTATTGAATCGTATTCCATAAGGATTTAGCGTGGCCCAACTGCCAATAGGTTTCAGCTGTTTTCCGACTGCAGCTGCTATGAATGCTATTATACCCTCTTGAGGGGTGGGTCATGCCCACCACTGCCCTGGAAGCCCTCCCTGCTCCAGCTGGCAGGACCTCCCTTACTGGAGGAAACTATGAAGCACCTCAAGACAGCCTCCCCCCGACAGCAGTGGTCTCAAAAATTGGCAGCCTCTTCATTGGGAATTAGAAAACAGGAATCCTGATTCCCTTTTTCCTCCTTGACTGATACTGAAAATGAAAATTTAATATTTGAGTTTCCTGTTAGCTTATAGTCACATTTCCTAAATCATCAAGCCAGGTAATGGATATGAATGCAGTCCATATAAAGCCATGAAAGGTTGTTACAGAGTCTTGTACAGTGCAGATTTAGATCAGTGTTCCTGAAGTTGCACTGTGGTCTCAGATAGAAACTGGCTGTAAAGGCTGTAGGAGAATCAGCAGTATATAGCCTGGTTTATACCCTCCCAGTGTACTTGATCATGGATCACTTTCTACATAAGCAGCATTTGAATTGTGGGTATAGTCACATCTCCTTGCCTTCCCATAATACCTTCTTCCCCATTTGATAGTAATAATGTTATTGTACATTTTAAACCAAAATTTTCTTTGAGACAGGGTCTCATGTATCCCAGGCTGGACTCTAACTATGCAGGTTGAGGAGAACCCTTCTGCCTCCACCTTCCCAGTGCTGGGGTTACAAGTATGTGCTGCTGTACTCAGCATGTAAAGTACTTGAAAGCTTACAGAGGATACAAGCTCTAAACAGAATAAACGAAGTAGAAAAGGTCAGTTTAGGAAGTATGACATAAGTCATCATGGGTTCTCACTCCTCTGCATGAACGGGCCAGATGCCCATGAAGATGTTGACTCCCCAGAAGGACCCTGAGGTTACACTCTTGAACGGGAGAGCCGGGACTACAAAGTACTCCAGCAAGCAAAGCAGGGCTCCTCCTCTTCTGGACTCAGATTATCTGGTGCCAGCTCCAACCATGCATGGACTTAGCCTAACAGTGGCCCTGCATTTAGGCTCTGGAGCCTCACAGCTGAGTTCAAATTTTGTGGGCTAGACAAGTTCAGTCATCTTTCTCCTGACCTGGTTTAGGCCTTACACCCCCTGCCACGCAGATTTTGTTCAGAATCAAACATAATCTGGCCTGAGACCCCCACCCTCACCTCAGAAAAGGTTGATCTAATGAAGACAGCGTAAATAGTGATTAGAATCCTGTGACCAGAACAGCATTCTAGGAACAAGACAGCCAGGGATCCCTCTGCTTGGGGCTGGGGTGTTGTCTAGTACCTAGGAGAGCTGTTCTTGCTACCTTGAGGCAGCTGCAGCCTGCTGCCCTGTCACCCCAGCCCAGGTGAATTGTGAAACCCTCTCCAGTCCACTCATCCAACTGCCCCAGAGGCTGTCTTCCTACTCACCAGAGCAGGGATTGGCAATGAGATGGGGTTGGGGGAGAGGTAGCGTCTGGACTTGCGGATGGCAAACTTCTCTGTGGGTAGAGACTTCCCGGCAATCTTGAGCTTCAAGCCTGGCACAGCCCTGAAAAAGAAATGGGGAAAGCAGGGCTTTGGTTTGGTTCAGTGGCAGGGCTCAACTAACCTAACATGTTCAATCCCTATCAACAATGGGGCAGGAGATTAGGGAGAATGGAGCAGGTTTCCAGTCTCAACTCGGCCTATCTGGGCCTCAGTTTCCACACTGTATAATGAGAGAGCTTAACTCTAAAAAGCATTTCAAGGTGTGAGCCAGCCTGTGGTTAGGGGCTCATTTCACAGTCCCTGCATGGCCTGATTGCTTGCAAAGGCTCTAGGGCTGGCAGTGTGAGAATGTACTAGCTATCCCTCAGGCCTGCCACCTACTTATCTCCCCTCTACGCCCAGGCCTTCCTGGGAGGGCCCACAAAAGTCTAATCCCGGTTTCACAGGCAAGATCAACACCCGGAGAAAGGGAGGGGCCTGCACAGACAGACAGCTCAAACCCTTAATTAACTCCAGCCTCCTGAGCTGTGGCCTCAGCTGTTTCAGGGATAGAATGAAATGCACACAGCTGGGCAGGCCTTGGCTGGAGCCTCACCCACTACCAGCTGCCTGGCCACCGGGTGTGGCTGGGATCTCAGACCCCAAGCCGCATGGGCTCAGGAAACAACTGGATGGGTGAGGCCACCCCAGGTTCCTTGCTGCTGATTTACTGCAGAACCTTTCTGGGTCTGTGTTCTAATCTCAACAGCCTAGACTGCACCACCTCGCAAGCTTGCCGGGGGAGTTGTGTGAGCTGGGACCACGGAGTTCGCTGTAGCAGCAGGCACCCTGCACGTAAGTGCTCCGTCACAGCACTAACCAAGGTCTGTCACGGAGCCAGCCAGCCTCATCTTGACCCTGGAGGAAGGCTCCAGACTCCATCCTCTAACATTTTTGATGCTTCACAAAAGGCAGATGAGTGATCCAGAGAATAATGAAAACAGCAGCACTCTGGGGCAGTCCTGTAGGTTCCAAGTTCTACTCCAGGGTCTCCAAATACTACACTGCTTGCTCTTCCTATCTTAAAGGAATTGTCCAAGGTGTCCCAGCTGGGAAAGGGATTTAGTTCTGTTGCTTTGAGTCATCACCATGTGCCTTGCTCCTTTGTGGCTTTCGCTAACTCAGCTGATAGAGAGGTCTTCCTCTCTGGACCTCAGAGTCTGGTTTACGTGAAAAACGTTCCCCATAGGCTCAGGCATTTGAACACTTGGCTCCCAGTTGGTGGTGCTGTTTAGAGGAAGTGTGTCACTAGAGGCGGGCTTTGAGAGTTCATAGCCTCACCTTCCTTCCAGTTCTGCTCTCTGCTTCCTGCTCTTGCTGCACCATGCCTGGTGCTTGTTACCATGCCCACCCAACCCTTTACCAGCACCCCCTGCCATCACCCCTGCCATGATGCCATCCTCCGGGAACATAAGCCAAAATAAACTTTCTCCCATGAGTTTGCCTTGGTCGTGGCGCTTTGTCACGGCATTGGAAGTGACTAATACAGTGTCCTTCTCTGTCCTAGTGACCAGATGAAAGAGATGAGTGCTGGAAGATTCTGACAAAAGACATTCAAAGGATTCTAGCCAGCAGCAGCACTGGCATGGAGTGCCGCCGGCCAGAGGGGAGTATGGGCACAGGACACTTAGAGCTGGGAGTGCCTCTCCTATCACTGCAGCTCAGGCAGCCAAGAACAGAACCTAACTGGTCTGCCCACAGAAGACCTAGAGCAGGAGCACCATGGTGGGGCAGACCTGAATAACTCCACTTCGTCATCCCCGAATGGCTTGTAGTCTTCCTTCCCAAACATGCTGAGGTAGGCAGCCTTCATGTAGATGTAGGTGGCCTATGGGAGACAGCAACAGTGAGATAGGAGCAACCCTCCCCCCACTCACAACTCCGCGCCGTCACAAGTACCAGTGTTCGGCCCTCACTGTGGTCTAGTAGAGAGATTTATGGTCACCAAGTCCCCAGGGGATGTCACTGAAGCAACTGAGGAATTTTGAGCTGGGAGTTAGGTGCCTGCAAAGCAGCCTTCCTCTTCACCTTGACTCACTCCGTCAAGAGAGACCCGAGCACCATGCAGGCTTGCTCAGACAAGGCAGAGGCAGGGTGAGCATGGAGGGGTGCTACTGGGAAGCAGTGACCCCAGGTGGCCCTTGAAGGATGATGGGAAGATTCAGAGACTCGTGGGTACCCATCTGAGTGGAAATGGAGAGGTAGGACATACACGGGACACAGTAGGGACTATATGAAAGAGGTATACATCTGGAAGAGTGAACAGGACCCAGGCAGGGCTCAGTGGTAGACCTGCATCACTCACTTTTACACATTCACCTCAGTCCATCCTAAAGAAGACGTCTAAAAGGACCTTGCCTGCTAGATGCATAGGCCACCTGACAGGGAAAGTGGGGTGCACTGCTTGAGCTGCAGTGACCTGCCCACATCAGCAAGTCCCATGAGGAAGGCACTGGGGTTAGGGTTAGAGGTGTTTGGCTCTGTGCTGCCCTCAAGTGGCCAAGTTTTGAAAAGCTCTCTCTCCCAGGGCTGCGGCCAAGGAAAATACCTGCCAGTTGCCAAGACACAGGTGGAGAAGGAAAGGGATCCTGGAATCTCCACCTGCATCATCCATGCTGGAACACAGAGCATCAAGGTGGCCTATGTGTCAAACTGGGGGCCAAGCTGGTCTTTGTGGGCGTGTAATGGAGTCTTCTCATGGAACCTTTAACATAATGTCACTCTGTGCCCTCTACCTCTCCCCTGTCCCTGGTGTTCCAGGGACGGTACCTCTTGTCTAACTTTTTTCTTCTAGCTTAAATAGCTGAGAGAGCTTCTGAATTTAATAAAGAAATGGTAGTAGTACATATATACTAATTCTAAACCAGTTTCATAAGCAATGGAGAGAACCCACAACCTCCCCACACCCCAGGAACATCTTTCTCACTGGAACACTGCCCTAAACACAATTTTCAGGTTTTTAAGCTAAGAATTTAAAGCTGACAGTAGGGCCTCTAATTAGCATGAAATAACCAGGTCAAAAACCTTGTGATGTCTGGGTTTTTTTTTTTTAAAAATGGCTTTAAAAAGATTTGTCTTGCTGGGCAGTGGTGGCGCATGCCTTTAATCTCAGCACTTTGGAGGCAGAGGCAGGTGGATCTCTGTGTGAGTTCGAGGTCAACCTGGTCTACAGAGTGAGCTCCAGGACAGCCAGGGATACATGGAGAAATCTTGTCTCAAAACAAACATACAAACAAAAGGTTCGTCTGACAAGTCAACCAATTAACAAATAAGTTAGAATCTAGGCATGGTGATATATGTCTGTGACCGCAGCAGTTGGGAAGGTGGGCAAGTAGTTATTGAGTTCATTCTTTGCTTCATTGCAAGTTTGAGGCCAGCCTGGGCTAAATGAGACCTTCTCTCTCTCTCTCTCTCTCTCTCTCTCTCTCTCTCTCTCTCTCTCTTTCTCTCTCTCCTCTCTTCTCATCCCCTCTCCCTCTCTCTCCTCCCCCCCCCACTTGTCTCTCTGCCCCACAGTTATAATATAGCCCAAAGAAGCTCTCAGACCTTCCACGACCTGCCCCAAACTCCTCCTTAGGATCATCTAATGCCGTTTCTTCTCCATCCCTCCACAGCCCTTAGGGGCCTTTGCCTGTGGAGACACATTCTCTCTTAGGCTCTAAGAGCCTAAGACACCCCCCACCCAACCCCAATAGACCTCTCTCACCCTCTCGTACAACCAGCAGTCAGGCTGGGGTTTACAGTGACTTGTGAACAGACAAGTCATCCAAGGTGATCAGGGGAATCGCAATCACCTTTCTGATCTGAGTCCCTTCTCCCTGGGGTCAAATGTTTACCCTCTAACTCCACAGAGGTTTACCTCACTGGAGTAGGAAACGCAGGCTGTGCCAAGCAGACAGTGCCTGTCTGTAAGCCTCCAGCAAGTAGTCAGCAGAAGGCCACGCCTCCAGCACCCCCTCCCAACTCGCAGGCCACAAGCCCTCACCCAGTGAACACAGAACCTCTGGGCGGTGCCCTCACCCCCGGCCTTTGTTTCTTGCTCTGGGTTCGGTCTGTCCAATCATTTTCTCCCCTAAATCCTCCTCCTTGAGTCTGCTCAAAGATCTTGCCTTCCTGAATCAGCCCTTTGTCCCCTTGGCTGGGTCTTCCGGGGCTGCCTCTAAAGGACTGAGCAGCGTCACCATCCAGTTCCTACCATCTTGGCCCTAGGCTGCAAGCTCTGGGCAAAGTCAGGGTCTCCACAGGGTGAACTTTCAATGATCCAGGCAGAGAAGGAGTTGAATATAGGAGCTGGCATATATGGCAGTGTCCACAGGCAAATAAATCCCTAGAGTTGGAAGCTGAAGGATGCTGTGGCGGTCCGGTGCTAGAGAACAGGAGGGAACAGGCCCTGAAACTGAGGCCATTTTTCATAAGAAACCTACCTGAGGAAGTTAACTGCAGACAGAGGAAATCTTACTACCCCAGAGTCACACAGTGACGTGTTTCTCACAACAGACTTCCCCACGCCTAGGAAGGCTGGCCTGCCCACTGCACCTCACCGTAGCTGTGTGGTCACACCAGGCCTCCCTGTTCCCATGTGGGCAGATCCTGCTGCCTGCCCCACTCCACAGGAAAGAGTCTGCAGTCATATTTAATTTGAAAAGGTTCCTTAAGGCTTTGTTCTTGTTGGGATGGGGAATGATGAGGAACAGATGTGGCCCCAGAGCTAGGCCCTGAGGACGCACCTTTCAACAGCAGGAGGCCTCCGGGCAAACCCAGCCTCCTCTGGAGGACTTGAGCAGTCAAAAGAACAGTCTCATGGGAATGACCTCAAATCCACTGTTTCCCAAACAATGGGGTTGCTCGCTTGTACCTTACGGGGTGGAAAATGAAGAAAGACAAAGCTAGAGACACAGTGATTACTCGGGGGACCTGCTCCCTCCGAGCTCCACCTGCTCCAGGATTTCTCTTCAGCTTGGTTCCCAGTAAAGAGCATGGAAGCCACAGCCATGCGTAGGCAGAGTGAGAAGGAAATGAAATGCAGACAACAAGTAGATCTCATAATATGTGTCAGGGCAGAGCTGTTCTAAACTGCCTGGAGTTCTTCAAGAGGCTTCCAAGGTCATGGGAGGATGCCAGGATTGATTAGCAAGGTCTGCGGTGGACAAGGGATAAAGTCATGGGGTAGGTGTGCGATGTATCAGACTGGACATTGAAGATGCTTTAGAGTTCCATACGACTCCCACTAATCCTAGCATAATGCGGCATGTCGGCACTGTTTGATGAGTCTGGCTGGCTGTGTTGGGCAGATACAGGCTTTGTTTGATTTGGCCTACATGGCATATCTGCAATACTGCAATTTCCTCCCTCCATTCTCTCTCACGCGCACACCTCTTCCAGTCACCTCATTTTTCTTCTGAAAGCACACCTCTCCCCGCTACTCTCATTCCGGAAAAGAACCTTCCTGCCTGTTTCAGATGCTGACACGAGATGTGTGAGGCTTAACCGTGGACTTGGGTTGAAACTGAAGGGAAGATGTAATTTTGGGGCAGCCCCTGGCCACCTTGCCTGCCATGTGAAGAGAAGTTGTCTGCAGAACACTGACGTCAGAGAAGAGACCTCAACTGCAAGTGGGGTGGCTAAGGCAGATGATACAGTTTGAGTTCCTGGAGTCAGGTGATGCTAAGTAAGTTCAGTTATATGGGCCGATGAGCCTCGGGTGCTTTACATCTGTTTGATCCCAGCGACCACCAGACCCACTGGGGCTCTCTGATTAAAAATAAATACACTGTAAACATTCAGTGTCTTGGTTGTGCTGGGCGTGTTCCATGTGTCCGTGTGGCTGGAAGCTACCACACTATGAGACAGTACATGCTTAGACGTGTGAGACATGTCTCTATTCCTTGTCACTACACAGCTGTGCTGACACGTTAGGGTTGAGGGGAGGTGGCTCAGTGACCAAGGGGATGCTTAGAACAGACGGACAAGGCCCTGGATTCAGTGCCCGGCACCAAATCAAGCTGCTCTGCTTGTCCCAGCTTTTCAGCGCTTCCCAACCCCAGGTCCTAGTCAAACATCTGGTTCTCTTTAGATCCCAGTGGACACATCGGGGTTCGGTCCGAGCTTTGGCCCCTCAGTTCAGGGGCTCCTTGGCCCACCTGGGTGAGCCCTGGCCACCCAATGCCCTGACCCACAGTGTCAGCCCACCTTGGACCAGGAGTTCTCCTTGCTCAGCAGGTCGGCGTAGAAGTAGGCCATCTTCCACTGGCCCTTGTAGGTGAAGCACCACATGAGCTCCCAGTAGCACATATGGTGGAATTGCTTCCAGTGCTGCTGGGCCTCACAGCACTCCTCAAACCGCCGGATGGCCTGTGGGCAGCTGCAGGTCAGCCTATGGAGGGCCCACCCAGCCCCACCACCCTCCGCACCCTTTAGCTCCCCAGCAGGGAGGGCCTCCCCTGAGGCATGGTGGTGCAGAACTGCACCAGTTGTCTAGGAGAGCAGGGAATCTGGCTTCCTGTCCTGGCTCTAATCGGCTACAGGCCTGTGATGGTTTCTTTTTGATTCTAGAGAGTCTGTCACTAAATGAAAGCATGGAACAGAGCACACTGGGGTGTGTGTGTGTGTGTGTGTGTGTTGGGGGCGGGGACAGGACAGGAAGAACAGGGTGTTCATACTGCAGTGCTTGCATTGGTGTGTACATGTCAATGGACGTGGGTCGAGGCCAGGGGTCAACCTCAAGTGCCGTTCCTCAGGGGCTGTCCCTCTTTGTTTTGAGACAGGGTTTCTCACTGGAACCTGAGGCTCCCCAGTTAGGTTAGGCTGGCTGGCTAGCAAATCTCAGGGACCTACCCTCCCCCACCCCCCAGGACCGGGATTCTAAGCATGTGCCACCATGGGTGACCTTTTCACATGGGTGCTAGGGACTAAACTCGGGTTGTCTCCTCGTATGCCATCTACCCAGCCCCAGAAGGTGTTAGTATTACACTGATATAATGTCTGCACCTCAGAGAAAACACCAAAGATTCTAGCAGTTTCCATGGTTACCCACACCTGGGGATTTACCCTGGTAAGACTGGCTGGAGACGTCCAGGACTCCACAATGTAGTCCTCCACATCGGCATAGTGCTCCCGACCTGGCCCTGACTGTGACCTGCCCTGTCTAGCCCTTTCCATGGTTCTTTCCCCTCCTAGCTCACTCCCCCCACCACCCTATTCACCACATCCAGCCTAGTCACCATGCCCTGGACAGCAGCTTTTCCTGACCAGGAAAGCCTGTCTCTATCAAAAGCCTACAGCCTCCCTCCTCCCAGACCACCCCTGTCAGGAGTGCCTCTCGCACCATGGGCTCACCCTACCCCCAAGGATGCTTGTATGTGTCTGGCTGGGACATCCCAAGAGACCCCCACATCACTCACAGCGTCAATATTTCCTTTGATAGCTTCAATCCGCCCAGCAAAGAACAGGAAGATGGCACCCTGCAATGACACCCGTGAGGATCTGTGTGTGTCCACTGGGTACAGGTGGGATGGGGTGGGGTGGCCAGCGGAGGTCGCTCTCACCTTGGGGTATCGGTTCAGGTAGGGCTTCAGCAGCTTCTCTGCCTCCTCGATGTTGACATTCCCAGTACCTGCAGGTGGCAAGGAGATGCATTGCTCAGGTTACCGTTGCTGGGGCCTGTCTTCCTCCTAGAAACCTGCCAAGGCTTTCTTGGGGCCTCTGCCTTTCCCTCTGTAAAATGGCACGATTCTCCCTATCTCTAGAGTGACAAGGGGCGTGAACAAGTTAGTGTGGATACTGTCCCCGCACATCACAGGCTCAACAACCTGGAGGCCGTTTCTGAGTCTGCATCTAGAACAAGGGACAGCATCTTCACACCTTCCACAAGGTGGCGCAATCACCCCCATTTCACAGAGGGAACCTGCCCAGAGAGTAAGTGGAGGTCAACAGGCCAGGTGCAGCAGGCCCACTGACCGGGCTCCGCCCCAGTCCTGGGCGCCTGAGCAGGGTCAGCCTCTCACCCAGGAGCCCGGCACCCCGGCACCCCGGCACCCCGGCACCCCGGCACCCAGACACCCCGGCACCCCGGCACCCCGGGCCTCCTACCGAGCACGAAGGTGAGGAAGGTGTGGTAACACAGCAGCAGCATGACACACAGCACCGCGCGGAAGCTGTGCCCTGTCGCGCCCTCCTCCAGCTGCAGCAGCCCGTAGTCCTGGGGGGACAAGATCATAGGATGGGGTTCCCAGAGAATCGCGGGACCCAGGTGGGCAGGTATGAGACAGACTGTTCTCCGGAGCCCGGAGCAGTGGTGCCAGGATTGTGATCCCGAGCCGAGGGCGGCCCTCCCCTCGTCTTTCATCTGCGCCTACTCCTGACCCTGTCATGGGCATGGCAGCCAAGCTGCCCGGTCTGCTTAGGAGGAGGAATGACGCCAGGAAAATGACCCTAACGACAAGTCGGTGCTGGGAAGCCTGGGGCCCAGAAAAGCTTCCTGGGGGAGAATGTTCCAGACCCTCACTGGGACCAGACCCAACCTGTGTGTGTAGTCTCTGCCCTCCATCTACCTTCCTCAGTATTCATGCCCTTTCTCAAATACAGGCCTGGCCTGCTCAAACCCTCCACAGCTGCCCTGGTGTGGGACAGGCTCCACCCAAGCTGCAGCTGCGGGTTAGGGTGGACCTTCCCACCTCAGCCTAACTGAGACCACCTACCCAACTGCCTGCTCTAGGGAGCAACCCACCAGCCCCTGGAGCCTTCAGCTGTGAACCACAGACGGGATTTCCCAGGGCCAAGGATGGGCCTTAGGGGGCACTGAGCCTTTGTGATCTGTCCTTTTGATGATGCCTGGGGAAGTCCCAGATCTGGGTTCACATAGAGCTCAGCTCTCACCCATAAAGAGAAGCCACACAGGCTGAGCGTGGCCAACCCTACATCTATTTTTTTTAACACTTTTTTTTATTTATTATGTACGCAGAAGAGGGTGCCAGATCTCATTACAGATGGTTGTGAGCCACCATGTGGGTGCTGGGAATTGAACTCAGGACCTCTGGAAGAAATAGTCGGTGCTCTTAACCTCTGAGCCATCTCCCCAGCCCCCACATCTATTTCTGAAGACTGTTAGGCAGCATTGTTTGGGTTTGTTTGCTGAGACAGGGTCTCACCAGATAGCTCTAACTGCCCTACAACCCACTATACAGACCACCTCTGCTTCTGCATCCTGAGTGACCTAGGGTCACAAGGAGAGGAGGAGGCTGGGGACAACTGTTACTTCCTGGACAGTGTTCCTTCCACCACACTGGCAACCTCCTCAGGGGGGCCTCCTGGGTCTGCTTCCTCTAATCCCTGCCTGTGTGCCAGGTCTTGGCCTCAGTGAGTCCCCTGGTTCCTCTCAGGGTTTGATGCACAGGGCTCCCTGCACACTCACAGATGAAGTAGGAGCACCAAAAGCTGACCTTGGGCAAAGGGACTAGCTCAAGGCCTTGAAGTGAGCAGGTGACCAATGGGGAAAGACTGGGATCCTGACACATGTCATGGAAAGACAGTGTGGCCTCTGGTCCCTATGGGGCTGCGCTCACATCTACCCTTATCACACAGTCCTCTACCCTGAAAGACAACAGACGGGGGAGATCTGTGCCTTCACAAACCCCGAGGGAAGGCTGGGGCTCAGAGAGGTCTAGACTCTCCCCAGGGCCACACACAGAGAGGGATCTAAGCCAGGACTGGCACCAGGCCCCATGGTCCCTCAGCCCCACTCTGTCTGGCCCAGCTCCAGCCCCGGACTGGGCAGATGGTGGGTACCCAAAGTTTGGCAGTTACCTTATTTCCTGAAAACCCAACAAACTCCAGCAGCCTCAGGATCCTAGTGGGAAGCATGGACAGCGTCTGCGGGGTCAGAGGCAGTGGGTGTGTGGAGGGCATCCTAGGGAAAGTCAGAGGACCCCACCCACAGCTTGCCCTTCACCCAGGTAGGAGAGGGTGGCCACCTCTCCCAGACCCATGCCAGTCTTTACACCATCTCCCAGGACCAGCCCCTTCCCTCACAGACAGGCTCAGCATTTCTATGTTGCTCCAACCCAGCCCACGCTGCTCCTTCTGCCTGGCACGCCCTTCCCGGCCTGAACTCTTGATGGATCTAAGAGTCAATGCAATGCTTATCTCCCTCCCCAGGAACTCTCTCCAGTGGCCCTGAAAAGAACTTGGATCCCTGTCCCCTGTGGGTTACAGCTGCTTTCAGGCCTCTCCTTTCCCCTGGGAAGTGCTTGACAGCCAGCAATCTGGGCCAGAAGTGGTCTGAGTTTCTGGGGTTGTCAATGTCTATGGCTATTGTTACCTTCTCAGGGGTTCATGCTACCAGGTAGGCACAACATGCACATGTAGACTCTCGAAAGGTGGTCACCCTATGTGACACCCCAGCTTGAGCCCCTTAAGGCTGGTAATACTCAAGAATCATCTCTAGGTCCCATGCCTAGCACACAGCCAGGCACAGTGGCACACAGGGGTGACCTTGTGTGGGACAAGGACATGCAGGGGAGCTGCATCTGGGGCCCAGACACTGAAGAAAGGAGGGGCTCCTACTCACCAGGTTGAAGGCTCCTACACCAAGCTTCACCCCTCCTTCAAAGTGCCTATGGCTCTCTCCTCTGCAGTATTGGGAGGACTGGACGAGGGTATCCAGTTCCCTGTGGGAAGGGTGCTGCTTAGCCACATGCTGGAGCCAGGCTGGGATCCATCCCCTCCTCCCTGACAGGGTGGGCTCAGAACTCAACAGTGGTGGATTTAGAGTCTACAGACCCAGAGAGCTGATGCTCCATGAATTTCCCTCTTGTCTACCACCACAGATGCATGTTCCTCACCCCGAAACGGCGCCATATTGTCCCCAGTGGTACAATACCCTCCACCGGCCTCATCTGCCCTCTTAGGCTGGATAATTCTTTACTGGGAGAAAGGAGAGGACCTGTTGCCAGCGTAGGATGTTGAAGACACTCCTGCCCTCCCTCCGTCTAGGTGTGAGCAGGAGCCTCTCCTCAGTGGGACAACCAGGATGTCTCCGGAACAGTGTCACGGGGGGCACAGACACCCCAGATGAGAACCACTGGGCAGATACAAACACCTTGTCCCCCAGGACGTTTCCTTGGCGTTCACTTGGCTGGAATCCAACCCTCTTTCTCCTAGGTACCAATGACACAGAGCTCCCAGCCTAGCACAGAGGCTTTGTAGACAGCCATCATCCCCAGGCTTCTCTGTACCAGGCACTAGAAGGCAGCAGGGGTCATAATAGCCTCACCCTGTCCCCACAGCTCTAGCCCTTAGGGGACAGTCTCCACCAATCTCTTGAAAGGAGAAGAACCCTGGGGCTGGACTTAGTCTGGGGATAAAGAGGGTTTTTCAGATGGTATTTAAGTGGAAAGGTGACATGTTAGCTAGAACCTGGGAGGAGATGTGTGAGCTAGAACCTGGGAGGAGACCTGGGAGCTAGAACCTGGGAGGTGAACTGGAACTGGCCTGGTGACTGTTCTGACAGAGACAACATGTCCAAAAGCTGTGAGGCACAGATGAGTTTGGCATATCAGAACTGAAGGCAGACCTAAAGGTCTGCAGCAGAGTGATGTGGGAGAGGCAGTAAAGATGCCGGGGGCGGGGGGGGGGGGTGCTCCACTCTGTAAGCAAGAGGGGCCTCGGGAGTTGGAGGGGTGGCCTGACCAGGTGTGTGCTCTGCAGTCACCATTCTGGAAGCTGGCAAGGACATTGGAGGGACTGAAGCACCTGTCTAGCTGTCCCTGGACAATTCCAGCACAAGCCTTTTGGTGCCCTGTGCAGGGAACAGTCACCCTGATGGGGGAGGTAAAGACAGCGATCGTTCTCAAAGTGTAATGGGAAATAAGTTCTAATGAATAACTTAGGGAAGGGAGGGGGGCTGGGTTTGCAGAAGCTTTATCTGATTTCAGACTTGTAGATAAGGGACAGTACTAGGTAAAAGTGCTCTGGGCTGTCCTCAGGCTTTTAACCATCAGCACACCTTGTCCCTGGCCCAGAGACTTTTGTCAGGGACCCAGCCCAGACATAGTATGGAAATTATTTCAGCAGGAGGGGAACTATTAGGAGGTGTGGCTTTGTTGACAGAGTAGGTATGGCCTTGTTGGAGAAGTGTGTCACTGTGGGGGAGTGGGCTTTAAGGTCTCATATATGCTCAAGCCACGCCCAATGTCTCAGACCACTTCCTGCTGCCTCCAGGTCAAAATGTAGGACCCTTATCTCCTTCTCCAGCACCATGTCTGCCTGCACCCTACCGTATCACACCATGATGGATAACAGACTAAACCTCTGAAAATGTGAGTTACCCCAATTAAATATTTTTCCTTTAGAAGAGTTGCCATGGTCATGGTATCTCTTCACAGCAATAGAAACTCTAAGACAGGGAACATGCATCTATGTGTGTGTGTGTGTGTGTGTGTGTGTGTGTGTGTGTGTGTGTGTGTGTGTGTGTGTGTGTCTATGTCTGTGTACACACGTGCTATCCCTGCATGTTAAAAAGGTCAAGGAAGATTTTATAGGAAAAGTTGCATTTGAGCCTTTACAGATCTGTAGTTCTGCTGCTGTTCCTTGAAGTCCTCTGTCTGTCTGCCTCCCTGCCCACCAGCCCAGGCTGTTTGTGTAGACTCTGGGTCATCTTCTTCCACAACAGACAAGGCATTCAAGAAGCCAATCATACAAGTATAGCCAGAAAACCAGAGCATTATTCCAGGAAATGGAGGTTTTGAAGGTGCAGAAATCTGAGCTCCCAGATTTTTAAACTTCAGGCCTCCCACAATGCAGTCTGAGAGACTCCTTGGCCCCAGGCTTCCAGCCCCCTACAGGCTGGCCCTGCTTACTTGTACGTCTGGTAGCTGTTTCGAACTTTGATGCCGCCCTTGATGAAGCTCACCATGTTCTCATCCTGTGGTGGGGAGAGATGAAGAGAACTGGGTCCAAGGCGGGTAACTGTAGGTTGGAGGGTCACCCAAGGCTGTGGGCCTTGACAGCCCTCCACCTTGTGCCCAGATCTATGACAGATGAGGCGGGAGTGGTCAGAGGTCACCCAAAGCAGGCTGCCCCAACCCCCCTTCTCAGACACACACACAGACACAGACACACACACACACACACACACACACACACACACACACACACACGAGTCCAACAGTGTCCCCCTCTAGGTAGAAGACCCATGGGAGATGAAGAGGGTTGCTCAATTTTGGAATGTTAAAGATAATTACTGTAATATGTTATTTAAAGTCCCAGCAATCCCCAGCCTGTCTGGTGCCCCAATCCTGGTGTCCACTCAGAAAAAGAAAGGACATGGGTTGCAAAGCCTTGTCAGGAATGTCCACAGCATCAGTGTCCATGAAACCAAGAACCAAAAGCAACCGAGGCTCACCCATGGAAGCTAGGTAAACTGAGGCATGTTTACATAAAAGAATATTATCCAGCCACACAAAGACAGGTGGAGAATCCCAGCCCTACACAACTGGAAGCCTTTGTGACACAGAACCCACCAAAGCTTAACAATATGCTGTTCAGACACAAATGGGAAACACAAATGTGGGGGTGATGAGGGAGGTAATGGCTTCTCCCGGGAAGGAGGCTGGGACAGTGTCGGGGAGGGGGTGAGTCTTGCTATGTAGGCTCTGGCCTCCAGCAGAATCAGGGTATGTGTGCGATAATAATATGTAATAAAAAGCAAATAAAATAAAATGCCATTCTTGTTTCAGCGAGTCCCAAACTGAGGATTAGGATTGGTCCAGCTCCAATCACCTGAGAGCCAAAAGATTTTAAAAACTAAGGTTTCCTGCCTATGACATCTATGAACTACATCCATGACATGGCATGGCGTGATCATCTTAAAGGGCGCACTGGTGGCATGCATACCTTGGGGGTGACCAATGGCTCTCTAATTGATTTAAGACCCCCTCAGGAAGAGGGAAACCGTGCCTATTGGTGGAAACCTAGCCAACCGCTAGTGCCAGAGAAGTCATTTTCTAAACCAGCATCATCCCTAACAACAATCCATAAGCATTTCTCCTTACACCCACAGATACGTGTAGTCTTCACCCCTCATCAAGGAAAGTCTTTGCAACAGATGGAGACCATTACAAAAAAATCAAAACCAATCACCATGCAGAGTTGTGGCACCCCGTCCCAACGGATACATCTGCAAAACACTCACACACCTAAGGCCCAGGGAGCATTGCAAAGAGGGGCAAGACTGTCAGAGTCCGAGGATCAGGGAGTTTGCGGGGAGCTTGTGTCTCCGGGGACGTCTGAGGCCACGCCCATAAGGTCTCACCAACGTGACTACCCAACAGTGAGCTGACCAAGGATGCCACTAATGGGCATGCCAAAGCATACAGGGAAAGGCCCATGAAGCTCAGCCCTACACAAAAATCTACAGGCAACTGAGGAAAGCTGGAAATGGGAGGGGCAGTCTTCTCCAGGGAAGAGCACCCCAATTGGTTGACCAGTGCCCAACTGCCAGCCCTGGAAACATAGATACAAGTGATATTATACAGACTAAACAAGTTATATTTAGGAATATATATATTTACATATATATTGTATATACATGCATATATATCGCATATGATAACAATTAGTGAAAAAAGAGGTCATGAGTTTGAAGGAGAGGGGTATATGAGAGGCTTTAGAAGAAAGGGAAGGGGAAAATGTTTTAACTAAACTATAATTTTTTAAAAAGAGCTAGCCAGGCAGTGGTGGTACACACCTTTAATCCCAGCACTCGAGAGGCAGAAGCCAGTGGATCTCTGAGTTTGAGGCCAGCCTGGTCTACAGAGCAAGTTCCAGAACAGCCAAGGCTACACAGAGAAACCCTGTCTCAAAAAAGAAAAGAAAAGAAAAGTACATACAAGTAATAGCATATGGACTGATAAATGGCTCATTGGCTGTTCTTCCAGAGAGCCGAAGGTTCAATTCCCAGCATCCACTTGGTGGTTCACAACTGTCTGTAACTTCACTTCCAGAGAATCCAAATGCCCTCTCTGGCCTCTGAGGGCACCAGGCATGCATTTAGTACACAGACATGCATGCAGGCAAAACACATAAAATACAATAATAATGTTTTTTAAAATTAAAAAGAGCTAAGGAAGCCAGGTAGTACATGCCTTCCATCACAGCACTTGGGAGGCAGAGGCAGCTGGATTGCTGTGAATTCAAGGCTGGTTTGGTCTACATAGTGAGTTCCAGATTAGTTAGAGCTGCATAATGAGACCCTGTCTAAAAAATCAAAAAACAAGCTAAAGAAAACAAATAGCACCCAACACTACAATGCATTTACCCTTCTCCAACACACACACACACACACACACACACACACACACACACACACACACACACACACACACGTGCTAACGTGCTAGCCAAGGAGTTCTAGTAAAACTGTGCGTAAACAGTGTGCGTAATTCCCACTGTGGTAGGGAGACCCATCTCTGACTTGACCAGAACCAAATTCAAATCCCAGTTCACTATTTGCTAATGCTGTGACCTTAGGGAGAGGAGTCCTCTGCTTTGCTGTCCTGTGAGGGGTTAAGTAACAAGTGTAAACACATCAGACAGGACCTCGTGTTGTGGGAGTTATGCAAACACGGCATATCCAGCTGCCTCTGCCTCCCAAGTGCTGTGATATCCAGAGACTCTGGAGACAGCTCCCACAGCCAAGTGCTTGCCACATAAGCCTAAGGACAGAATTTGATCCTGGAACCCACGTACAAAGCCAGATGAGTGGAGCGCATCTGTAATCCCTCCCAGAGGACGGAGGCAGAGACAGGAGAATCATCTGGAGGCAGAGACAGGAGAATCATCTGGAAGCTTTGAGGCTAGCTAGCCTAGCATACACAGCTCAGCAGCAGAAATAACCAGGGCCTCTGCCTCAAAAACAAAGTAGAAGGAGAGATCCAATTCCCAAAAAGATCTCCTTTGACCTCCACACATCTATAGCATACCTTCCACCTTGCCATCACAGGTACACATGCACACAAACACACACACACACACACACACACACACACACACACATACACACTCACACACACACACACATACACACTCACACACACACATGTATGCACTAAATAAATATATTAAAAAGTGGAGAGTGAGAGGAAGACACAACCTCCTGATATCAACCTCCGCTCTCCACGCACACACACACACACACACACACACACACACACACACACATGCACACATCACAGGCACATGCAATATGGCAGATCTATAGAGCTGCAAAAGCCTGCTATATTATTTGCTGGACAGGAACAGGAGTGACAAAAAGGATTGAGAGACACCTGCCCTCCTCCTCCAGCTTGGCCAGGGTTGGGACTCTGAGCCCCAGGCTTTGCCATTTCTCAGGGGGCAAGTCATGCCTGGTCTGACCCAGAATTCTGCGGCTCTTTGCCCAAGTGTGGGGTAGGCTGGGGTGAGGGGAGCTTCCTTACCTGAAGGAAGGTCAGGGCCGCCCTCTGCAGCAGGCACTCTGCGTAACAGACCTCTGCATGGATTTCCTCTGCAGGGGGAAAAAAAAACCTAAGGTCCTAGGCAGGAGGCTCAGGTAAAGCCACATTCCCTCTGGGGCACATGAAGTCACAAGGGGGCTTTCTACACAGCCATGGGCCTGAGGAGCAAAGCCATGGTTTTCAGGCTTCCAGGTGCTTAGCTGATAGTGCTGTTGGGTGGCTGGGCTTCTCCAAAGGCCCCAGGCCAGGGCCACCTGTGTCCCAGCATTAGGCCATAGCACAGCCCCCTTGGGGACACCAGAATGGATAACTTTTCTCTCCTCCCCTCCACCCTCCCTTCCCCTCCCCTCCACACTCCCCTCCTGTCCATTCTCCCCTCCCTTCCCCTCTCTGGGCCACCAGGGCCCACGCTTGAAAGGACACCTTGAACGCCATACCTTCCGTGAACTGGTCCATGGTGGGACGGTGTACCAGGTTGCTCAAAGAGTCTGACACAGACAACTTCTTCCGGTACCTGGAGAAGGAAAGGGGCCCCTGATGGCTCCATGAGGCTAAAAGGGACCAGCCTGGGCCACACTTGTCTTTGTACACACACACCCTGGGCTATACTTTCAAATAGTTGAAAGTTTGTAGGCACCTCCCACAGGAGTCTCCAGACTCAGGTCCACAGCTCCCCCCTTGCTGGAATCCTTCCTCCCTTCTCCACTGGGCTGAGGTTCAAACCCAGAGCACCCCATATGTTAAGCAAGTGCTCTGACAACTGAGTCATAATCCCAACCCCTAGTCTAGGCCCAACGGTTTCCTGGATCACCAGGGCCCGGGCCAGAGTAGATGTGGGTGTATGCCCAGTGGCATTCATGGACCATGGACTAAACTCACTCAAGTACACACCAGGCCCTGCCACCGGGTCCCCAGGGCAACACCATGACTCGTCATCACACACACCTCTTTTAAAAATGAAAAAAGTTGAGAACTGAGAGGGGCCTGCCCAAGACAGAGTTAAAAAGTGGCAGAGACAGAATCCATTTTCTCCCCAGTGACCGGCTCAGACAAGGCTCCACAGCCCTGCTACAGGAACAGCTCTCACACCGGAGGACACAGGACCTCCTAGCCAGAAGCGGCAGCGCTTAGCGGGCACACCAGGCACTTGGTTAGGAAGGAGACAGAAGGGTGGGCCTCACGACCCTCTCCCTGTCCCCACGGTTCCCACCTCTGACACAGCGACTGTGCTTCCTTCATCATGTTGCCGGCAAGCAGGATGTCCTGGGGGTCGAAGGTCATCATGGCCTGCATCTCCAGGATGGTGGCGTACGTCAGCGAGTGGTACATGCTCTCCTTGGTTCTGTGGGACAAAGTGGGCATTGAGAGCACCAGACGTGGCTGGCTGGCTGTGGGAGACACGGTTTCAAAGTCTGACCCTTTCATGGCATCTCAAACAGCCTCCATTCAAGGAGGACGGGGGAGAGCAATGTGGTAAGAACGCATTGCAGACGTCAGATAAGGCCAAAAGTTGAAAAACTAATTAACAAACAAAAGATCTTGGTCCAGTTCCCAGCTCCTCTTCTTCCTGCGGAGTAACCACAAGTGACCTTCCTGGGGAGGGGACACAGTCCTGGTGCTGGCCTGAGGCTGTTCTTGCCCACACAGGGTGCCCGCCTCTTGCCTTCTGGCCCTCCTCCTCTGGTCCTGCCTGCCCCAGGACCATCTAGACCTGTTACTACTGCTTCCCCATCTCGCCTGACCTACAACACCCGGCAGAACCTCCCAGCACTCAAGCCCTGGAGCCAGCAAGATGGCTCAGCATGGCAAGGTGCTTGCCACCAAGCCTCACAACCTGAGCCCCCACACGTTCCTCTTCCAGGCCCTTGCCCAGGCTGCTCTTCCAGCTTGAGACGTCTTCCTGACTCAGTCACCACAGCCTTCAAGACCCCGATGGCAAGGCACAGACCACACTCAGCCCACGAGCACAAGCTTAACTCACCCTCTGCAGACTGTGGGTACCGCAGGACAGGGCTCATCTCTGTGGTCTGATGTGACCGGGCTGAGCCAGGGCAGCCTCAGAAAGCCTTCACCTCCTGCCTCCCTGTGCAGCAGCCTGGAACTTGGCTATTACCCCAGCACCAGGGGGTGATGGTGCTGGATGGCTGGAGCTACTGAGTCTGGCAGGGGAACAGCTTGCCTGCCATAGGAGGAGCCTGCACAGTTTGGTTCCCTTCCCCGAGCACCTCGGTCAATTATTTCCAGAACTCCTTACTACCAGGCCAAGGCTGGGAACGTCAGAGGAGAGAGATGGCTAAGGTTCATAAAGGGGTTTATTGTTAGATCACGTGACTTTAGCCACCTTCCTTTCCAGTCAAAGCAGAGCTTGTGGATGAGTTACTCTTTTCCTTCCAGGTGACTCTCTTCAGTTGGGCTTTGTTGTTGTTGATGATGATGTTGTTTGTTTGTTTGTTTTTGAGGCAGGGCCCCAGACTTCATTAAACAGGTCTCCCTCTACTTTCCACGTGCTGGGATTACAGGCATGCGCCTCTATATGCCCTGCTTTAGGTCAGGATTCTTGAGGACCAAAGGAACAAAAGGCGGTAGATTTCTCCCAGTCCTGCCTGTTCCCAGATACCTTCCAATCTGTGCCATGAGTAGGAACAGGGGCCAGTGGAAAGGATCTGGCTGCCTGTTATGGGGTTGGGGGGTGCTCAACCCGGATTTTAGAGTCCCTCAGACACAGGCTGGACTCCTGGCCGTGCTGGTCACCTGCTGTGTGACTCTAGTAGGTGTCTTGGCCTCTCTGAATTTCAGGACTCCCCTCTGTAGAAAAACAAATACAACTGGGCATGGTGGAGTACACCCTAAATCCCAGCACTCAGAATGCAGAGGCAAGTTCAAGACTAGCCTGGTCTATATGGCAAGTTCCAGCCAGCCAGCCAGCCAGCCAGACACACACACACACACACACACACAAAGAGAGAGAGAAAGAGAGAGAGAAGGGAAGGAAGAAAGGAAGAGAAAGGAAGGAAGGAAGGAAGGAAGGAAGGAAGGAAGGAAGGAAGGAAGGAAGGAAGGAAGGAAGGAAGGAAAAGGGGAAAGGAAGAAAGAAAGAGAAAAATGAATAATATAATCTTTCTGTCCTGGAGCTTCCAGAGTGAATTTGTTCTTCCAGATCTCAGGTCACATCACCCCTGCTCAGTAAATGTGAGTCTCTCTGTCCCTCTGTCCAACCAGTGTCCAGAGTCGCTTCCCCAAGGGCCTTCCCTAACAGGACCGATAGCATCCCTCAGAACATTCCCCGCTTCCTGGCCTCTTCCCAGGGTCTCTCCACCCTGTTTCTCTCTCCCTCTTCCTTTGCATCCTGAGCCCCAGGACTCAGCCCTACCCACCCAGTCACACCTGCTGGGCCCAGAAGGAAGAAGCCTTGCCCAGGCAGCTGGCAGACAAAGTGGAATTTCTAGTCCAAGATCCAAGGCCCCAACATGTACCTGTGGCTAGGAATCCTGGCCCTCACCAGCCCACAACCTGGAGTGGCCTGGACTGGGAAATGGGATACAAAGGTATGGTGACCCCCCAATTCAGATACCCAGAGTCTTACGTGTGCCACACAAGTTTGCTTGTACATATGGCACTTGGACCCCTGAGCTGCACCCAGCTCTGTGGAAGGAGAACCCCTGGAGTCCCACCTCCTAGGGCCCAGACCAGCTGTCATGATGGAGGCGAGGGTAGACGATGGGCCTGGGGGCTTCTCAAGCCTACTCTTCCTCCACTAGCAAGGCAAGGTTGAGGCCTTGTCAACTCCTTGGCAGCCCTCCTTCCCTGCCTCAGCCCCAACATCTGGCCTCCTCACCCTGAGCCCTCAGACCTTCTGCTGTACCCAGTTAGGAACCCCAGGCCAGGGCTGCACAACTGCCCACTCCCCCAAGCTGCCACTGAGCAAGGTTGTAAAGGAACTGCCCCGCAGACAGGTGACTTCTGAGCTGGGGTCAGCCTCAGCTAAGACCCTCATCCTGCTCAGGGACAAATTTCCTCTCCCTGCCATTCCCCCCAGTACTGCCTGGCCCCTTATGCTTAGCAGGTGGCCTAGCCTCTTCCTCAAAGAACCTCCAGGACCTCACATGGGCATACCCTGAACTTCCTGCACCAGGAACTCACTTATCTTCTTGGCTGTGCTTCTTTGGGAGGAAGCCACCTGAGGCCCTTCCAAGCAAGGTGACCATGCCACCCTGCATGAGACCTGGGAGAGCCCAGCAGTCAGAATGCAGCCTGCAGCCAGGGTGGGCCTGGATTTGAATCCAAGCTCTGCCACTGACAAGCCACGGCCATTTATTCAACAGAAAAAAAATTATTGGGGTTGTCTCCATGTTCCAGACAGTGCCTGGAGACAGAGTGCTAAGAATCATAAACCAGCAGTACAGACAGTCTTATTCAGAGACGTGACATCCAGACAGCAGATGCAGAGGCAGCGAGGGGAACACGGTAAACCCTGGTAAGCCCAAGGAGCACAGAAGGGGTGCTACCCAGCCCCCCTCACTAGGGTCAGGACGGCCAAGCAGACCTGTGTACAATATGGAATCATGAACAACTGTGGACCCAACCTTCTCGGAAGCTTCAGTGGGTATAAATGGGGCCAAGGGGCTGTATTGTTGTTATTGATGACCGCCACTCTGGAGCAGTGGTTCTCAGTGAAGGTACTTTTGTCTCACTCTGTAAAAGGAAGTCGGACAGTTTCTGGAAAGCGTCTTTGGTGGTCATGGGTGCGGTGTGATTTTACTTCCCTGGGACGTTTGATAATTTTGGTTGCCCTGAGGTGAGATGGGGGAACTTGCCACTGACCTCCCAGACTGGCATAGGGAAACAGTTTGTCCTAGAAGTGCGCCAGGCATCCTGATTCCAGGCATGGTTGCACATGCCTGCAATCCCAGAAATGGGCAACCTGAGGCAGGAGGATCTCAAATTTGAGGTCACCCTGGACTAAATAGTAAGATTTTTTGTCTCAAATAAAAGGGGATGGTGGCTGGATATATGGCTCAGCAGTTAAAAGCATTTACTCTTGTTAAGGACCCAGGTTCAATTCCCAGCACCCACATGATGAGTCACAACTTTGTTTTAAACTCCACTTCCAGGGGATCTGAATCTCTCTTCTGGTTTTGTGCCTGGGTACAAGGCACACACATGATGCACAGACATACATGCAGGCCAACACCAATATACATAAAACACAAGTAAAAACATAAAGAGGGGGACTGGAGAGACAGCTCCACAGTTAAAGCAATTGCAGTCTGAGTATGGGGACTGGAGGATCCCCAGAAACCCACATAAATGCTGGGTAGATGTGGTGGCCCACCTAAAATTCTACCCCAAGAATGTGAAGATAGGGGACCCCCAGAGCAAGCTGGGTAGCAAGACTAGCTACATCAGCAGGCTGTGGGTTTGATTCCCAGACTCTGCCTCAATCAATGAGGTGGAAGAGTAATCAAGGATGATTCCAACATCAACCTTGGGCCCCCACGTGCATGCACACACACATTCACACACACATGCCCACAAACACGAAAGTTAAAAAAAAAAAGGAAGAAAGAAAAATAAGATGTTAAGGGCAAAAGAGAATATGCAGAGA